TATATAGTGTACTTGAACAGTAGCAACTTAAACCCTGCACAAACTTTCTGGAAAATAAACTTCTTTTTTTGCACTCTTACATATATAAATAATCTTATAGAATCAGCACCTTTTTCCCAGGAGTTGTATTCTTCTTCTTCTTTTTTTTTTTCTTTTTGACATTTTTCAAAAGGGATGTGCCAATTTCTGAACTCCTATCACAGCTATAAATTTCAAGTTATTGACCATCTGCATGAATAGCTAATGATGATTTACCTAGAGTCACACTACAGTCACTTCTCTACTGAGAAAACACAATCTACAATATAGTCCCATATAGCTAATGATAGATACACAGGTTGTTTTTTCTCTCCTAGCACGAGGCCGATGGAGCATCGGCCCACTGTTATTTTGTTTAAAGCACACAACGTAGCAATAGTTTTGGAAACTTGTCCGCACCAAAAAAGTCTTTGCAACAACACAGAGCGAGTTAATAACAACATCTGAGAGATGATTGAATCAAAGCTATATTTACAGCGTTTAAAAATTAGACTTATCTATAATCTTGAAATATTCAAAGTTTTATTTCTAAGCTATACATTGGTATTCTATAATAAACTGTTACAGAAATTATCCCTTGTTTTGAAAATATTATGATTTCAGTGTGTATCTGTTCATAACGAGTATTTGTTTGGAGTTTCGAACTCTTAATTATTACTAGGAAGAACCTTATTACCGGTAAGGAATAGAATATACTACTGTAATCTCCTGAGGAATTGTACATCCAATATTGTCTCTAATTCTACCCTGTGTCTATAAGCACACACCACAAGAATCCAAACACCACAAGAAGAACAAGACAACAGTCTTTGAATGCAACATAAAAATTCAGAAAAGCACAGCAAACATGAAACATTGAAAAGCTGAACTACATTTCTTTTGTTTGTTAGGATTACAATTTTAATTACATCTGTGTACATAGAATAAGGATGTTCACATAGTACAGGGAGCAGCTACTAACACTGGTACATTGGTATAGCATTTGATGGAGGTTATTGTTTATTGGTTATTTAGCGACTGTAGTTTTCTGGGGGCATCTAATCGGTTTATACATTAGATTACACCTCGTAACAGTCTTGAAACTGACTGACTTTCATGCTGTGACAATACTGGTTGAAAAGCACATATACTGGTTTAGCTACTTGTTAAAGATTGCCATTTACAAAGTAAAATCTAAATCAATAAATAAGGTATAGAAGTGTTAAATTCTTCAATTTGGTCAGAAGTCTACTACTCTGATTTCTTAATTTTGCAAACGTCGGCATTTGCCTCATCGCCTCTAAGCTACTATTGGTTCATAGGGTTTTTTTCTGCATGTGAGGTTATAATTTTGCAAACAGGCAGTATCTTGTTCATTTGCAACTGAAGCAGTTAGAAATCACGTAGCAACTATACCTCTGTACAGTTGCTGTCTCCTAACACCGTTACAGATTGGTATTTGACACGGAGTATTTCTATGTTAGACTACTCGGATATACTGTAGGTGTAATCTAATCCTTTGAGAGTCAGTGAACATTTAGTTATAAACTGGAGCTCATGTTAAGAAACTGGATGTTTTGGACCAGACTGGCACACAACATAAATTGCATCCGTGATAATATGCACCTTCCCTTCGACTATTGCTTTAGTAAGATAAATTCCCACATTAATAAATGGCTGAAAACTGGTAAAGCTGGTACAAAAAAATCTCCGTTAGTAAGAAGAAACAAAACATTTAAAAAAATCTTCCTTCAGGATTCATTTGTCCTTCATTATTGTTCATCATTGTTCAAGCCAGCACAAAAATGCAGTATTTCTTTCTCTTTAGTATTGCATGAATGAATAAAGCTTAAACTATTCCCTGAAAAAGTTACATTGTAGCTAACCTAAGAAATATCTGGAAGACTTGAAAAAACAATTAAGGAATCAAATGGCTGTAACTGATCTAGATGGAAAATGCAATGATAAGAAGCAGCCGATGCATCGTCGCCTAGTCGTCTAATTAGAGACTGCTCCTATGAAATCTAATACTGCATTCAGTCAGTTCAACGTGTTGTACTGTACTGCTAGGTACGATGGTTCTCTCTTTGATTCCTTTGTCATTGGGATATTATGGTTCATAATAAGTTCACTGGCATCCATATTATGGATTTCCATCCTTTGGCAGGCCTGGCTTCCATCTCTCTTCAATTAGAGACCTCTTTTAAAAAGTTCAGCAGCAAAGGAAAAAGAGAAAAAGGGAAAAGGAAAGGAAAGAACAGAAAGGAAAAAAGAGAGAAAAGGAAAAGAAAAAGACTGCATCGGGAAGACACAGAAGAAAAAGTTGAAAGCTGCTTCACAGTCTTGCTGCTAAATATCAGTGCAGTCATTTTTTTCCTTAATTAAACACTAAGTTTCTTTGCCATTATTATCTTGTTTATTTTCCCTTTTTTTGGGGTTTTTTTTTTCCTTTTTTTTTTTTTCCTTTTTTTAATTTTTTGTTGTTTTTTTAAAACGCGCATGATGGGGAAGCCCATGATGCTTTAGTCAGACCTTGGCCTCCAGCATTTCCAAAAAAAGTTTGTGCATCGGGACTTTGCCTTCCAGTTTGATGTTGTAGAAATGCTGCACAGCCTTGGTGGAGGTTTGCCTCAGAAGCGGGAGGGTCATCAACATCTTGCCCGCACGGCGTGGGTCTTCCATGTGCTGCCCGGCCTCGTAATCCTGCAGAGCCTCATGTAAGACGTCCTGAAGCTTCTGCACTGCCTCAACATCCTCTATGTGCATCGAGTCTGCAAAACAAAGGAGCAACAGGAGGTTTCAGTTTGGTGTGCCAGAAGCCCGGTAATGTTACGCCTGCGCAACGCTTTCATGGTTCTGGCCATCCTCTTTCACAAAGAAGGAAGATAATTACCCACTAATTTATATATTGACCTTCAAGAATGTATCTGGAACCGCTGTGGAACTATACACATATAATTAACTCTTGCGCAGCTAATCCTTCTCCTCATCCTCCTCAAACAAGTACAATGGTCACACTTGCTGCTCCATAAACCATCTCCATGGCAGGGTGTTGGGAACTAGATGATCTTAAGGTCCTTTCCAACTATTCTATGATTCTATGATGCTTACAGTTACTGTTTTGAAGAAATGAGAACGCCAAAGGGCTGTATGAACTGAGCTCTGCATTTTATCAGGGAAACAAGAATGGCTGCCCTACTACGGAAAAGCTCAGTAAAGTTCTGTGCCAAGCTCCAAGGCAGCGGAGCTGGAAGCCACGGTCAGTATCCACTGCTCAGAGATGCTAATCGTGGGATTAGGACCACTGCACTGACACAAGGGAAACGCAGGTTTCCCAATAGGTTTAGCAAATTTCTTCTGGCAACTCTCAGCATGTTCCTGAACAGCTCTTGTTCTGTGAAGCTACCATCTCCTACAAGGTGTAATCCTGCCCTACCGCCCACTCTGAAGGTGGTTTCTCTTGTTAGTGCTGGGGTTTTGCATTTTTTCTAAATCACTCAAAGCAAACACCTCACCCTGTACCTTCCCCCAGGTGAGATGTTTTGGTGGTCTAAGTATTGAGTGACAAGCCTAGACACAACGCACACCAGGAACTAAACTAAACTGCTACATGACCCAGAAAGATTAAAGCAAGGAAGTGTGAAATAAAAGGAAAAGATCTAACTGAAATAGCTGTAAAACCCTCAACAGCATAGATACAGAAAGGGAAGATGTCCCTATGAACACGCAGTTACTGGACCATGCTGAGATGACTTTGGATGAGCAGCCCTAATTCTCTGATTTTTATGTAGCCATAAATGCCAAAAAACCCCTGATGTGGTCCAAAGTGAGGTGAATGTGAGTAAGGAAGAACAGTCAGAGGTGAAAGAGGCCACTAACAGCCCCTATTGGCTACCAAAACTTGAACGGTCGACAGACTTACAGAGCCAATAAAACACCATCTGAAAACACAACCGCTGCGAGGAGGTACAAGTCCTAGGGACAGGCTACACTGTGCAAGCCCCGCTCAGGGTGAAACTGGGACATGGTGTTATTAAAGTATATCCTTGAAAACTCTGGTTACTACAACTCTGCTTTGCACCTTAACTTTTGCTTTTGGAATAAAGCTCCTGTTTCCAGAGTAATGGCTGAGGAGCTGGACGGTGAAAAACCCACTTCCACCATCGTTGCCGAGCCCTGTATTAAGCAGCCTGATGCCCTGGATCAGTATTTTGACAGAGCCTCGTGTTTTACCTTGTTGATGATAACAACATCAAATTTCGCATGTGCTTCGAATACCCGAATTGCATACAGAGAATTAAGATGTATCTAAGATTCATTCCCTAAAAGCTGACGTGCAACTATTTCCTCAGATAATTAGGCAAGATGGGAAATAACTCTCTCTTTTCAAACACAAGCATGTAAACCAAACCACAAACCAGGAAATAACAGGTTAACAAGAATGTCCCAGCTTCTATTGTCAAAACAAATGTGCAAATTTAAGAGAGAGAGAAAAGAAAGTTACAGCTCCCGCTCTAAAACAGACACTTAATTATATACAAGTTTGGATCATTTAGCACGTTTTATTGATTCTGATGACAGTTTATCTGTTAATTACACATAATGGAGTCCTATGGGGATTTTACATGTTTAATAATTCTGAGTCTTAGCGAATACATGCTCTTAGAAGCATGCAGTTAAGACGCAGGCTGCAGGGATGTAATACTGCACATAAAGGTGCACTGTGCTGAAAGCAGAGGAATGCTGAATTCTGTGTCCTACAAACAGATGTAATCGATACAGACATGCTAACACACACATAGAAACGTGACTGATGTCTTAAGCATAGTGTCCAGCCACCGGGCTTAATTTGGAATGCAAACCCCAAGCAAACTGTCGTCTTTACTCTCTGACGCTTTACTCAGTCCTTGGATACTCACTGCTGTGCTATGGATTACACCATGTGCTACTCCACTTAAATTTTTCCATAAACCACACACAGCCTGTGCAGAAATTACATGTCTTTTCCTCCTGTCGCCTGTTCCGGGGCCACATTTGCTGGGGAACCAAGGAGGAGCACTGTATCAGCTTAGCAAGTCAAACACAGACTGTTCTTGTGATGGGCTTTTTTTACACCACACTGCATAAAGAAAGAGGTCTTTCTGGAGAACCTGACTGCAAATGTTTAGTTTTTAACCCAGTCTCATTCTTCCCAGAATCAGTATTTGTAACTGCGACCATGTCTGCATTTGAAAATAGATGGATGGAGTCCAGACTAACACAGTTTCTGCACAGAGGTGAAACTTCCCTGAGATCTTTAGCTCTGCAGTTTGGATAGCAATTTGGCCTACAGCATTAGGAGTTATCTATGCTCTACATTAATTCTTACACAGAAACTGAGTGAGGAGGGAAAAGAGGAATGGAAAACCCCAATTAAATGCAAGAACGGAAGGTGAATCAAAACCTGCCCTCGGATACAGCTATTACACTCCATACTCTCAAACTCTTCCACTGTGTGGACATCTTGAAACAAGGGATTTTATTCTCTCCTTGCAGGGGTGACTGGATACTATCCCTCATGTAAACAGCACAATTGCTTACGTGTAAAAGTAATAGTAGTAAAGGATTTAATGTATTTGTTGCTGTCTTTGAAATCAATTTAGCAGCGGGGAAGAACGTGACCAGCCAGCTCTCCACTGGCCTAATGCAAGCACTCTGCTGCCAAATAGTGGTTCATGGAGCAGTTTAGGAAGCTGTGCCTTGGGAAACAGATTTTGTCACAGGAAATGGGGTAAGAAAAAAACAGCAGAGAGGGGGACACTTCCAAACAGTGAACAAGACTTCAAACTGTTCTTTTAAAATGGTGATTTTACTTTGAAAGATTTAAAAATGATTTAATCAAATGACTATGATAATTTAAGTTCCCATTTACAGAAAAGATTCAAACTTATTTCAGCTTTACCCATTCTAGGGTCTGCTAATGTTTAAATGCAAACTCACTCAATCTGTGCTATTTAATTAGACCGTGATTCAGCTCGCAGATTGCCCAGGAAAATACTAATCTCTACAAAGATCCTTCTTCAAGTTTTAGCCTTGCAGTCTGGAACTTCCACTTTATTCCCGATATTAAACGAATGTAGATCTTAATCCCTCAGGCTTTAAGCCTTTGAAAATAAGGAAAACGGTTGAAAACGCTGAACTAGCCAAGGGGGAAAGAGAAGGAAAAATAAAAGAGAAGAGAAGGCTTCAGTAACTACAGACTGGCAGATGTAGACTTGAATTCAGAGCAGGTTAACTTACTGCTGGATAAACCCAATGCTCATTAGCGAGAGAGGGCAAAGTCAACAAGAACCACTATAATTTAAGGAAATGCAATGGGTTGTCTGTGTGATAACCCAGAAATAAAGGAAGAATTCCACAAACAATATGAAATGGGATTATAAGCTAGTTACAAAGATTTGGTATGTTCTTTCTCTGCCAAGGAAAACCTTTTGCTTTGGTTGGTTGTTTTGTTTTGCTTTGAAGTCGCTTTGTAGGCAGTCTGGATAATTTACAGGTACATCCTACACAGGTAATATCCAGAGGATAGCTATAGCCAGATGTAATACACTTAAAAATCAGTGCCTATATAAACAATGAAATTAAACAGGGTAATTTGCAAATGTTGTCATTTGAAAGCAAGCAGGATTTGATCACAAATGCCCTGCAACAACAAAAAAGCCCCTAGGCTGGTGAAACTGCAGAGCTCAACAGACAAACACAAGACTTGTTGACACACCGCACTGCTGAGAACATGGGATTTCAGTCTAGCAGGGCAAAAGTTGTTACTGATCAGCACTGCGATGGGAGAAAGTGAGATCCACAAAGGAGGACATCAAGACATTGAGCTTTGCTTGGAGAATACCCTTGCAAGTGCTTTCTTTCACCATCACAGGATGGGAAAACAGAATTGTATCTCTTCTTCAGCTGACTGATTGTATCACTGTGAAGAAATGGGAGAAAACTAGAGTTCTCATCCAAGAGAAAACACAAGGTGCAGATAGAAATTCAATCCACCTCATTTAAAATTCAAGCTTCATCTCAAATGCAGCAAACAAACATCCAGCCACCCAGAAATCATTGAGAACACACCACAAAGGGTGAGAACTAGCTAAAGGTTGGAAAACACCTGAACTGAGGGTGAGGGTGCCTCTCAAAATACTGCTCTTAGGAAACTTTAAGCCTGGTATGTGTGTATTTTGTATATAACATCACTAAGAAGCAGTAAAAACCCAGGGGTCTCAAATGAAGTATTTCTTCACGTCAGAAAACTCAGGCAGCATAAAGGAAGAAATTATTATAGTGAATTAAGCAGCAGGGAGTATGCAGCAGCGAACATACACATTAAGATGCTGATAAAGCACATCAGAGAGGCAAATACCAACAAGTACTTGAAAGACTGCAATTGCTGTGATGTGAATCTTTATAGCTGAGCAGTTCACAAACCCAAACCAAATAAATCAGTTTAGAAAGTTGTGGGATCCTGGAAGAACCGGGTAGGATGAAGAGTAAGAACAGCAGGCAAAATGGGTTTTGCTTTACATAAGGACAACCAAATCCTAATCTGGATTATGTCTCAAATAAGAGGAATGTAATATCTATCTTATATTGCCAATCCAAAAATCCCACAAAAACCACTGCAGCGTTTACTGATGGGTGAACAGTTCCCAGAATTACAGAACCTCTTCCTCTCCTGCCCAAAACGTAAGCCACATTTTACACAGGGACACTTGGACTTTTCAAAGTGCTTGCC